TTAGGCTTTCCCTAATTCAAGAATAAAATCAACCACACCTTTTCAAAAAATCACAAATAAGTTTGATCCAATGTCAAGCATTTTTATAATAAATTAAATCAATAGGTTTCCCTCACCATCAACCTTTCAACCAATCAAATTCATCCTTTGTAAGTCGATTGTCTTATGCATCACCATCAACCTACCCATTTACCAAAACATTTTTCGTAATAAATTCAACAAACCCTTGATTCTACATCAAGTGACTTTTCTTAATCAAACTCAAAAGCATAATAAGATACAAGAGAAATTGTGCGCCATGGGCCTTAAGTGGTAGAGAAGGAGTGAGAATGGGCATCTCTACATTCACTCTGATTATTTCGACACAAGGCATTTGACTTGGTTGATTAGAATAATCGTCTTTACCCATAGTCTTTTGTGCAATCTTAATCAAGAACAATCTCTTCAAAACATAAAAACAACATCAACTCATTCAAACTTCTCTTTTTGCGCCTTAGGGCCACCCTCAAAAAAATCCTTTTTCAAGGTAAAATCAACCAACAAACAATCATTTTTTAGGTTGAACTGCGAAGCTCCGACTTCCTCATTGCACCATGAGGGTACGTAGGCACGAGGCCGACGCCGAGGCGAGCACCCTTAATAAAAAACATCCTTTTCCCTCTAGCAGATAAACCTTTATATAAACAACACCATTTCATGCACAGATAACCTAGATGGTTCCCGTTGAGTAAAATGGATGTGAGGGGTGTTGATACATTCCCTTTTCATAACTGACTTCTGAACCCCGACATTTGGTTGCGACGACCTTGTCCTATCCTTTTTTTTCGATTCCCTTGGGTTTTCTTGATATTTTCTTTTTCCCTCTTTTGAGAATAAATAAAGTTCGTTGGTGACTCTTTTGTCAAGTCCAACCGGCGAGCTTTTCTCGTGAGGTCGCGTTCTCTCATATTTTTGAGGTGCGACACACGGAAACACTTATATGGTGATGATCTGTAATAAGGACATTGTAAAGGTGAGAATTGATGTTCCTAGTAATTGGCTCTACCAAGAGGGTGTCCCCTCTCCAAGCAACTTATCGGAGGATGAGGGAGAGCCCGATAATTTTAACCATCATGTCGGTACCACAATGGAAGAGAAGGGCATTGTCCCTCAATCCACACTTCCTACCCAATACGAAACGGGCACTTCGAGTGCAAATCAATATAGGTGGGAGTGGGTTCAATCGAAGATTCATGAGATGAAGGTTGAACAAACTACGCAATAAGTGGTCTTGGATGATATCAAAGTAATGATACAACAACTCATGTTGTGGTTCCCACCTCTAGAGTGAAGTTCTTGTGAGTTCGCTCCCTCTTACTTGTGCTAAAATATTAAGGACATTGTTTGGTTCAAGTTTGGGGGGTACTTATTTATTTTTCTTGCATTTTTATGTTCATGTTTCGTTCTTATTTTTAGTTATTTCTATTTTATTTGTTTCAAAAGACCACTTTTTTCGTAGCTTTTCCTAAACTAGGACTGTACACAAAAAATCATGATAAGCTTCGGTTATGGGGGAAAAGGGAAAGTATATAGAGTTTGAGGGATAAAAGGCTAGGACTAGGTACATCGGGAAAGTTTGATAACTTAGGTATTACTCGAACAGCCTAGGTCCCCCATAGCAGGACATGAGTCCAACGTGTAGATTTGTACCATAGTACCCGGCTTCTGAAAAATGCCATCTGATTAATTTAAAATGACAGTCTGACATAATTTAGACTCGCACACGTGTATGATTGGTTAAGAAATGAATTATTTTTGGCACCTAAATGATGAAAAGACAATAAAAGAAAACTACCTTCTAAGTTGGATAATTCTCACCCGATTATTTAGCCTAACAGTGGTTGAACCTCAAATGTCATCCCAAAGTGGACCAATAAACTCACAAAAGTGCATAAATTCATTAGGAAAAATAAATAAATACATAAAAAGGTTCCTTAACAAAAATTCTTGACCGATCTTGTGTATGCGACGAAAAAAATAAATAAATATCCTTAATATTGATTGCCCGAAATAAAAGGGAAAGGAAAAATAGAAAAAAAGAGACTTAAGTCCACATCATAGTTGGAGAGGTGTCTGAAAGGGAGACTTAGGTCTGTGGCTATACCGCGGTTAGAGTTATTGCAAATAAATTTGTTGTCAAGTGATTACCAAGAGAACTAGGCCTAGCTAGTCGAAACAAAATCTCATATATGAGTACCGCTGACCTCTTTTTTGTAAGCTTTCTCGTGTAGTAAACTGTTTGATCCGAAAACTTGTATATGCAAGTCTTGTTTCTTGAGAAAAAGCAACAATCTATGTTTGAGAGAGTTTGGTAAGTGGTTTTCGCACAGTTATTTCTAGTCATTTCTGATAGTATTTCATCATATTTTAATTGGTTTACTTCCATTTACCATGTTTTACGCTTTAGTTGTGTGTTATTTCTATTTTCAAGGCGTAATGAGCATCCAAGACAAAGAGGAATGAAAAACAAGCAAAGCAAGACAAAAGGACAAAAGTCAATTTTTCTCCATAGTAAAACCAGGGGCTGCTGCGGGCTATAGAAGAAGAAGGCCTTAGGTTTTCCCATGCTTCATCTCCCAATACTATTACCAGATGCCTGATATGGCTACTCGAAGAAGCTACTACGAGTTGTAGCAAGAGGGCGAGAGTGGATTCTTTTGTTTCCTTTTTTAGATCGATCATCAATGATTGTGTCTCTTAGGATTTATTTGATTTGATATTATTATGATGTAATAGGGCATTGAACCAAAGATTTTGTGTCACGTTTACTTTTTCTATAAAACTCATAGTCTGTTATGAGTTTTGGATCCAAGTTTTATTCTACAAGTTTCTACGTTATTATTTTTCTTCTTTGTACTCAAGTCTCCAATGGAGGAAGATTGGATCAAAACTTAATCTAAACTAAGTTTTCTTATTCATCCTTATTCAATTGTTTATATATTACAATTATTTGATATGAATTTGATATTGAATACCGATTTGATTATGTTTTCCCTCACCATGAGTGAGTAGTCCATTAGGGACTAAGGGTTATGGGGATTATCTTATAACCCTTTGTATAATCCATCACAAGCGATTACGAGAATTTTAGCTTAAACTTATTTTATAATCTGAGTTCATGCATTCTAACTCTGTTACGAAAGTAAGGTGTTCTCAGGTATCGACTGTAGTTTGAAAGGACATGTCGATACCGGAGCACTGATTTTTAAACAATTGAGTTCAATACAACGAAAGTGCTTGGACAAATTTGAGAAACTACATAGCTGAGCAAAAGTAAAGAATCGTTGACGAATAATCTTGTCGTGTGAAACAGACAAATTATTCGTCGTCGATAGGGCAATGCGCTGGCGAAAGCAGGTATTTCCCATATTTATCTATTTTCTATAATTTATGTGAAATTCTCGTATTAGAAGTGACATGGATCTTGCGACTATGTTAGAGTAAGAACTATAATCCTAGGTCGTTGACGAATAACCTCGTAATAGAAGTGACGAAATTCAGTACTTAAGTCATTGGTCTCTATGGTTCGATATCTTTTATTACTTTGCACAATCGTGCACTTACGACTGCATCAGTTAGCACTTCAATGTTTAAATCAGTATGTAAGTCAGATGAGGGAATGAAATTTAAATTTGAATAACACCTAAAAAATTGTAGCTTCCACCTAAAAAATTGTAGCTTCCTCTTTATATAGTAGAGTGGTTGTAACCACTCGATGATCTTTAGACGTAGAATGTCGGTATCCATTGGATGGATCTTAGATTCGGATCGCCTGCGGTGTAACCCAATATAACACTCCTACATTACGAGTAACTTGATGAATTGTTGCATTCTCTGAACCGCGGCTATTAAGCCTTCTGACCAGTTCAGAACGACAATCAAAAGTTAAAGAACTTCACCAAAAAAATATAAACAACTCTGCCAATAATTCTAGTTCTGCCTTTTATTTATCTTTTATAAGACCAAATATAAAATTAAGTATATCCATCACACACATACACATATAAGAACTTAAATTTGTTTTAAAAATTTTATCTTTTAAACTTGGATCTATCTTGCAATCCAAGTAACTTGCCAAAATAACTTAATCCGCTATCACAGGTTGGTATAGGTTGTTAGGTTTGGTTGTTATAGTTAGAATGCTTATATGCTATTTATAGCATCTTGTAACTAAGTAGAATTCAATTCAATTTCCCATTTCAATCAATTGAGTTTGTTAGCTTTTCCATTTTCTTCTTTTTTCTGTTATAGTTCTTCCTCTAGATGAAGAACATCAAGAATTCACATCAAGAAATTCAATTAATAATCTAGCTTTTAACTGTCTTTACTAAACTAAAATTTTCAACAACCAAGTCTGTCGAAATTAATTGCAAAAGAAATATAGATGCAAAAGGTAAATAAAACTAGTAAGAGGTCCACATTAAAAAATGATAATGTAAATAATAATAGTTACAAATGGATGAAAATTCCCACCTTACAGTTTAGAAGCCAATTTTGTGATGATGAAATACTAACTTGCTCCAAGAGGTAATAGAGTTATAACAACCAATAGATGTTTGAATGATACTATGTACCAACATAACAAGTACATACCACATAAATGTAATGATAGTTATTATACTTCTAAATGGAGGAAGAAAAATTTCCCAAGAAGCATTTTAGTTTTTATATGGTATATAATTTACTACTAAATATTTAAACATGATCATCAGAAGGAAATAAATATCATGCCAAAATTTCTTGATCCTGTCCTTTAAGTTTGCCCAATGTTCAATTTGTTTTCACACCAGAGCGACCGCCCGAAAATTTGGCAAAACCGAACAAACGGATAACTTTCTGATGAACTTCTCTTACTGAGATGAGATCCTACTATTAAAAATAAATCATTATAATTTCTGTACTTGATTTCATCCTCCTCTATTGGAGTTTCGTTGCTGCAAACATTTTTATTGTATATATACTTAGTACTTCTGGATATAACCAATGGAACTGATTCGAGATCGCATATTGTGGTGATCATAGAGAGAATCACCATAATCCAAAGGCTTGATAACTGCAGAGTTGTTATCCTGTTCCTGCACTGCACCAAATAGTATCTCATTGGTTTCTTCGCGACTTTGCTCATAGTAAGTGTGAGAGACCGATGAATGATACTGATGACGATAATGATGTTTTTGCAGTTGTTGCTGTTGAAGATCTCCATCCCATCCATTGTATAGATGTTTTTGTTGTTGTTGTGGATGCTGCTGCAGATCGCCTTCCCATCCGCTATAGAGATGTTTCTGTTGTTGCTGTTGCTGCTGCTGCTGCTGATGCTGAAGATCGCCGTCCCATCCATTATAGAAAGGCCGGCCTTGCCACAATTGTTGCATTTTTTCAGCATCTTTGGACATGAAAGGATATGTTTTCTTAGGGGTTGGAGTTCTCGGGTCAATAGAAGGGGGTTCGTCTTCGTTTGGAATTATAAAACTTTCTTGCACAGGCCAACCGTTTACTTGCTTTTCAGGTTGATGAAATAAGGGTTGGCTTTGAAATTCATAGCTTTGCGGTTTTTTCTTGAAACCCATTATTTCCACTACTGATGCCCCGGCATTGGTAAGAAGCTTCCCAATGGATCCAAAGAGACCTTCTTCTTGCTTATAAAATTCATCTTCAGATGGAATCAAAGGAGGCCTGACATATTTCAACGGCTTTTGGTACGGACTCAGTGAATCGCCAGGCATTACTTGGCCCTCAGCCTACATAAGCATAAAAACAATTATTGGCTGAATTTTTCAATCAATCACAGACACGGACAAAGGACAAACACATGCACACCGGTAATGATTTTTAAAAATGAAAGTAATTGAATATAACCAAATGTGGTTTAGCGTCGGTGTCAAACACCAGACACCAGACAAACCATTGATTTGAAGTGTCAGTGCTACATAGACTATATTTATCTTATTTAATATAATATAATGAATCAGAAAGCAGAAGACAAGACAAACACTCACATGAGCCACATCTTGAGATGCGACAATTGTACTTAGTCGACGCTGCAGCAATGCCAGCATATAACCAAAGAAGCCAGCTCCAACAAGCATTGCAATTCCTATAAATTGAAAGACAAACACCTTGTTAATTTGTAACTAATAAAATCTCTAAAGATAGACTCTGAATTGATTCAGTTTACCAAGTGGAAATCCACTTTCGTATTGATAAGCACAGTCATCAAAGCGCAGTTGGATCTCCCGAATGGCTTGGTTTCCCCTGTCAATAACAAGTAGGGAACAACTGCTTCCAACATAAACCACATCAAAGTCATTAGAGAATTTCGCCTCTTCACTTGGGCCATCCACATGGCCACCTCCACGGCTTAATTTTCCTCCCGCAATTGTTGTGACACCTGAAAACAGAAATCTTAATTCAATAAAAAGTCCCAACTCAAACTTAAATGTCAGAAGTAGAACAGCTTTATAATGAATGCAACATTTGAATAACCAGTTTAACTGAGCACTTATAGCATAAGCGCTTCTCATATAAGAGCTTATGTAAAAGTTATTTCTATAACAAAGGATAAAACAATGTCAAATTGTTTTCATATACGCTATAAGCCGTTTTCATAAGCTATCTTGGAGAACCTATGAAAATAAGTTGGTAACAACTTATAAACATGTCATAAGCTGTTTCCAAAAGCTCCCTCAAACAGTCTTACAAACGTTCATTGGTTCATGTCAGTAGATAAACTCAAATAAGTCAATCTTAACATACATAGATGAATAGGATCCCTAGTCAGAGTAAAACACAAAGCCAACCTGAATCGCTAATTTTCCTAATTGCCATATTCATAATATCGGCAACATAGATGTTCCCTCGATCATCAACCGTAATCCCCTTAGGGTGGTTCATCCTAGCCTCTCTTAATCTTCCATCAACATGTCCCGAATATCCTTCTGCCGACCCCGCTACTAATTTTGGTCTGCTATCTGCAAATTTCACAACAACAACAACAATTATCATTCAAAAAAAGTTGTTAGTAATTAGTGAGATAATCAAAACTCACAAGATTAAGCTACAACATTGACACTTACACAAAGAAAGTGAAGATGAAATCTTATAAATGTTACTATTAGCCGAATCCAGAACCAGAAGCTCCCCATTAGACAAAACCTCAACAGCATAAGGCTCAATTCCAAGCTTGCTTCCATCAAACACAGTTTCCACACTGTACCCACTCTCAAATTTCATCATTGACTTCCCAGGAATCGCTGCAATTCAACACTCCAATTCCACATCACAATCAAAACAACAACAAAAATGGATAGATAGAGATAGATCTGTACCTTTTTTGGTGGTTGGTTTGAGAGAGAAGACCCATTTGGTGAAAGCAGGAACGGCATTTGAGATAAACCCATTAAGAATCTCTAAAGAAAGAAAGAAAGAAAGTTTGAGTATAAAAAAAAAGTAAAAAATAGATTAATTGGGTATATACGAACGAATGACTTACTTGCGGGTGAGATGGTGGAGGGTAATGGTGGTGCAGCTGAGACATTAGCGAGGAGGAGTAGAAGAGAGAAACTCAAAGCAAAATGGAAGTGACCCATTTTGGTTAAAGCATTCAGAATGGAGTTGTGGAGGTGGGAAACTGAAATGTTAAAGAGGAAGAAGAAGAAGAAAAGAGAGTGAGTTTTAGTTAATAGATGAAAGGGAAACAGTGGGATTTAGAGTGAAAGGAGTGTTGTTTTGTGTGTGGTTGTAAGAAAAGAAAGGGAAAAGAGAGAAGGAAAAGGGAGGTGTGAAAATTGTGGGTCCGTTTTAGTAAAGAGAGAGAGAAGTGTTAGCCGCCATTAATATCTTTAAATACATTTCGTATTCGATGTGCTTACGTATCATTTATTTGGCAATTAACAAGATCTCTCTTAATTTAATTTGTTGATGTTATGTATGCTTAGTATAATTTATTTGGCAATTAAGAAGATCTCTCTTAATTTAATTTGTTGTTTTATTTTAATCTCTTAACTAAAAAATATTACATTATATATTTTTAAAATGGTGGCATTAGCTTAAGTAGTTTGTTCTTAACTATTATCTATTAATTAATAACGTTGTCTTTTTAGAATTTGACATAATTTTTTATTTAATAATTTTAAATTTTATTAATGTATTTATTTTTATTTTTAATATGAGTTTAATTGATATTTATTGATAGTGTAAAATAATTTTACAATATTATTAGTAGAATATATGATGTTGATTGATTGATAGTGTAAAATTATTCTTATTTTTATTTATAATATATTTTACATTCTATTATTTAGAATAAACCTTAGTCGACTATCAAATGAAATTTACAGCTGACATATTTGTCATACCTCAAATTTTACCCTCAGATTCATTGATCATTTACATATCATTTAAGCCAATCACTTATGCATGAACTAACTGTTTTGTCTAGTTTGTCCGTTTTGCAGGTCCGTCGAGGAAATTTGGAAATAACAAGAAATCTTGTGTGGGTCCATTAAGTTCTGTTGAATTCATGTGGATATAGAAGAAGAGTATACCATCGTTCTCATGGCCCTATCAGCATTACAAGGTCTTTTCATCTTCAGGACTCCTCAGTTAATACAGGTTTATTTTCCAAGGATTTCATTTTGTGCATGGAAGGGATTATTGATAGTCAAATGAAAAGGTTTGGTCTATGATTAGTTTTGAACGGTTTGATGTGAAACAGAATATGGACTAATAACTTAGGCTCGGCTTCAGATGAATAAACTTCGATTTAAAATATCAAATAATTCACTGTGTTTTATTATTTAAAATTACAAAGCCAAAGAGTTTTTGTATTCACATCCAATGGGAGTTATGTCATTGAAGTTGTTAAGAGGACAATTCAAAAGAATTGGAGTTATGTCGTTGAAGTTATTAAGAGGACAATTCAAGAGTTTTTTGGCTAAGTGCAAGGTTCGTCACTTTTTATAAAAAAACTCAATTTTGGGGAAGTTGAAAAATAGGTTGGTTCATTGTGCTACTCCTGACTCCATCCGATTTTGGGTAAAATGAGATTTATGCGGAAATTTAAGGAGACATGCATTTAGGTGGTATCAGCTTTTAGATCCAAGTCTCTCCAAAATTTCATGTCAAAGAATACTGGTAATTCAAGACTTACCATAAAAGCTCACAAACCTAGCATGCATCAGTGATTCAAAAATAATCATGATTAATTTTACAAAACTCAAAGGATTCCATTCATATGTGATATTACAAAAAGAAGTTTACAGTATTCAAAGGTTCGAAACTTTGTTATCATCAACTGTCTTTACAAAAATAAGAAAAAGAATACGAAGACGGTGTCGTTTGGTTTGCTCGCGTCCAAATTCATCCAAGACGAAAAGGTTTACTCTTCAAATCCATCATCCCATTTTCAAATACCATACGAGTCGTTCTTGAACGTTGACTTCAGCACACGACAAGTATTATCAGGACTGTCGATTAATGAAGAAAATGAGGTCAATAGTAGGAAAGATAATTTGGCTAAAATAAGGTATATCCGAACTTGAAACTACCTGCCCATTATGGTAGCTATTCCACACATGCTCCAGTCGCAAGTTTTCCTAGAGGTCAATTGGAATTCAAAGTAGTAATGGACCCTGTACATTGCACCCCATTGCCCTGTCAAAGATGAAGGTTTTGCAAATTACGGTTGGAAGGTAACGACGTCCTGCAGTGGAAATAATTCCAAATTGATTAAATACTCAAAAATTGTGCTTCAGAGAGATCATAAGAATAAAAGTATTAACGGCAAGAAACTCCAAGATTTTCACCTACCGGCAAGGCATTAAGAAGAGATACAAAAGCGCCCTTTGTCTGTACAGGATTGCCTTAGGGAGATTGGTTTGAGTAACACGGTTCATTCTTTGATTTTCGCCCGTATAGCAAGATGGAATAAGATTGGATCCTGTGAATTCCAACCACATGGATAAGACAAAATTATCGTCATTTATGCAGGATATGATTAGGAATCTGATCATTTACCTATGTTCATGAGGAGGAGTCGAAAATGATACTAAGCAGAGCCGTGAGTCTGCCCGTTACCGCAGGCCATTTCAGATTCTGAAGGAACTAATGTCGCAGGTTGTCACTTTGTTTTAAAACCCCACAAGCCACGAAAATTGCGACCACGTCCTGCAAATAGAAGCAAAGAAGATGTTAAGGAAGATTTAAAGAGTAATAAAGAAGGGAAGTGGCTATAGAACAGCTAACAACAAATCCTCATCTGCAAAGTGTATAGGAACATCATCCAACAACCACAGATGCAATTACGACATCTACAGCAGCATCATTTACAACAGCAACAAGAAACAACTTCGCAATTACATGCAGTTGTTTCACTGCCACAGGTGGGATCACCATATACTATGGGAGTTCCACCCTTGAGCCAACAATCACTTCAGCAAGCAAGCCCCCAGCAAATGAATCAACGAACTCCAATGAGCCCTCAGCAGATGAGCTCGGGGGCAATTCATGGCATGAGTACTGGTAATCCCAAAGCTTGTCCAGCAAGTCCTCAGTTGAGCTCTCAGACACTAGGGTCTGTTGGTAGCATAACCAATTCCTCTATGGATATGCAAGGTGTTAACAAGAGCAATTCTGCCAACAACAACAATACACAATGAAAATACTAAATCTCAACAATGGGCAGTAGAAAACCTTGAAAGTTTGTTCCCAGAATCATGATGGTTTGTTGTTAGCAGCTTTCGAGATTTTAGACCGGGCTTTTGGTTGACGTCCGAGGTCCTATAAACACCAAACTCTTTCGTACTCGTAAGCCTACAAAAGAAACCAAGTTCATAAGACGTTTGAGCCTGATAAGATTTGCAATGTAAGAGTCGACAGCCCACCGTGGCGATAGTTCAAATCATGCAAAGTTATTATTGAAACCAAAGTGTACCTTTTGACGTTTGTAGCAATCTCGACCAGTGGCTCCAAAGATGCTTGCTCGCAGTACGTACATGAAAAAAAAGAAAAAGCAGCACCAGCCATCAACATCCTCATTGCCTGCTGCATTTGCACAACCAAGTTACCAGCCAGTGAAGTCATTAGAAGACTTGTGGTCATGTTAAAGCTTTTGATTCTGGAAGAGGTTAGTGTGGAAGCATACATCATGAAATAAACAACGCCCCCGACTTTGGAGCGATCAAGATAAAATCCTAGTCCTTACTCTTATGATTCCTGTTTGGACACCAGCAGCTTGAAAGAGATGACAACGCGAAAATTGAACTGCGGTAATTATGGGACAACACACACCTCCACCGCAAAGCCCCTGCACCAATACAAAACCTGATTCATTAGACAAGTTTGAATTAAAGAGAAATACCATTACATAAGTCTCATTTGTTTTCCCATATCCTTTTGAATTCAAACTAACTACAAGCAAGTGAATTACCATAGAGTTTATCGGTGTAGATGTGTGTAATACGCTTGTTCCTAGCATTTGATCATAGACTCTGTTGTTTAACTTTCAACGTCCACACTTCAAGTTAGGGAAGTTAGAATCAGCGAATCCTCAGCCGCGGAAAGCTCCTCGCCATACAGAGTGTTATAACAACAATTCACCTGCAAGAAAAGAAAATCATGAGGCCATATGGAAAAGTGTCAATAAAGGAAATGCAAGGAAGATTCATGAGAAGTTTTGGAAATGCAAGGAAGACTCATGAGAAGTTTTTTAGCAATCAAAGAACACGGCCCATGATGGTTTATGTTTCAGCATTGATGTGCAGGGAGGCAAACATCTTTCTTCTCAAAATAGTTCACGGCAAATTGATATGAATAAGGATAAGGGAATAGAATCAAACATATCTGATTTCTTTCCAAGACAGCCAGCCCACATATTGAATTAACAGAATAACTCTCCAAACATTCCTCCAACACAATCTGGTAAAAAAGGAAACATTGTTTAATGTTGTTCTTTTCTTAGGCATATAAAAGACGAATTCAGACAGAACAAGAGGGAGGAGATTCACAGAACAAAAACAAAAACCACATAAGAATTTTCGCAAACCCTAACACCAGCCATAAACAGATTTGTAGAAACACATAGAAGTTTCAAAAACCCCAAAGTCACCACGAAAACAGAGAAACTTATCTGGTTTTTTCTGTCACTGCGAAACCACCATTTGCATCCCTAAAATCTACCGCGAAATCCGTCATTTCCGCCGGAAAACACGAAATCCTCGTTACGCCCTGTCACCGTCCAACCAAACCTTCACGCCGTTACCACCTCAAAACCTTCAATCACCGCCTCGCCGGAAATCGCCAATCTCCGCCATTTCCACGAATCGCCAACCTCCATTCGCAATAAGATACATTTGCCATCACGGAGAAAGCCCTAACCCCCATACATACACCGTAAGTTTGGTTTTATCTGAACATTTGACGTTTGTCTAATTTTCTTTATTTTGTAGATTTGGAATAGGAATTTCGAGGAGAAAATCCAAAAGGAAGAGATCAAAGGCGAAAACGAGAAAGAGGGAAGGAAGAAATTGAAGAATAGAGATGAGAAGAAGAGTTACGGGAGAGAAAGCAAGAGAGGAATTCAGAAAGAGTG